GGTGGGTTCTGAAATCATACCCCAAGCCAAACAGGAGAAATTCATTTAGTGGTGGGTTCTGAAATCATACCCCAAGCCAAACAGGAGAAATTCATATAGTGGTGGGTTCTGAACTCATACCCCAAGCCAAACAGAAGAAATACCCTTACCTATTATTCCAAAAGAGAACCATTCAACTCAAAAAAGCCATTGTGATGAATCTTCTGATACCAGTAACAGGATAATAAACAAGGATTTGAAGTTAACATTTTGAAACCAGTCACTAGTTTAAATAGATTTTGTGGAAAGCCACACAAAAATATAACAACATTGACATGGTTGTAGTTCTTATGGAAGAGTTTATAGAGAATAGTTACTTTAAAGTTTTTAGTTTCACAACATAAAACTGTAAATCACAGTCTGTACTTTTTATAGATATCTCTAAAAAAATAAAATTCTTGAAATGTATGTTTTAGCATCAGCTACCTCAAATTGTCTAAATATTTAATGCAAACTATAAAAGTAGCAAGTTCTTGTATGTTATTACAAATTACACATGTAGCAGTGAGAGTGTTTTCAGTTCTGTCATAGGGTTTCAAGCTCATTACACCTAAATTAAAAGTGTTGAATCCTATATTAGATCATATATCTTTTTAATAAGAAAGTAAAATTACATAACTGTAAAATAATTGTATCAGCTTTTGAACCTGATAAACTAAAAAAGGGTATTTTTAGGCACTGAAAACATGGTAGAATTTTGATTTTAATCCCTTCCTTGATTTGTCTAAGATAACTCAGGTGCTTTTCATGTTTCAAAAAAAAAACTTGCCCAACTTAATTTGGACAAGCCATTTCTCCTTGTATTTTAAATTATGTGCCTGAACTTATTTGCATATTCTCATGTATTACAATAAGCTATCAAAAAGCAAAATTAAAAAATACCTGACTTTTTGTTTTAGCTGATTTCCGAACAAAGCCTGATACGGAAGGGATTTCTCCTACCTGTTAGTAGAGAAGGTACCAGTAAAGATCATTTCACTATAGAAACGGGCATGAGCAGTCCATTAAACTAAAACTCTGTGATAGTTCATTATTTTATGTATTTTGTTTTTGTAGGATTCATATGTTCTAAGCTACTTTGAAGCCTTGGAAAAGTATCTGTCTGTAGGAGCTCCTGTATATTTTGTCATGAAAGGAGGCTACAACTATTCAGATTATCAGCAGCAGAACCTTATCTGTGCTTCCTCTGGATGTAGTCAGTACTCATTGCTTACTCAGATCTCTAATGCTGCTAGTTCACCTTCTCAGTGAGTAAACTTTTCTTCACACTTTCATCTAATTTTTTTAATGGATAAGGACAAATTAATAGCTGGGGTTTTCATTGTATAAACAATTTCAATTACACACATCTGGTGAGTGGCAGAATTTTTTCAGAGTACTATCTCATCTTCTTGGTATATGAATGTTCTCTTAATATGAAGATAGTAACTTGACAAACTGTTGTCACTCGCTAAAATAATAGAAACTGTTGTCACTTGCTAAAATAATAGTTAACAGACTAACAGAATGTTTTCTAGGAAATTCACTATCTTCTAGAAAACATTCTGTTAGTCTGTTAACTATTATTTTGGCCAATGACAACAGTTTGTCAAGTTACTGTCTTATAGAAAATTAAACATTCTGTCACTTTGTTAACTGTTATTTTGACAGTTATTATTTGTTAACTGTTTTATCCTTATGATAAATTGTCATTCTCTCAGTCTACCAGCTATTATTCATAATTATCTAAAAGACAAAATGCAACAGCAACAAACTTAAAGTGGTTATAATTCATGAATACACAACTTTACTGAAACCTTAGGCACAAAATAAAGAATGTAACAACATGACACCTGTCATTGAAATCTTAGGTTACAAACTGATGACTGCCTCTTATCAGAGGCACAAAATAAACTATGTAACAACATGACACCTGACTCTGAAACTCTAGGTTAAAGACTGATGACTGCCCCTCATCAGAGGCACAAAGTCAACATTGTAACAATATGACACCTGACAAAAAGTGTCACATTGTTACTTGAGGGTGAACTGTACAACTAATAGAAATACACATGATGAAAATAAGGTAAGAAAAAAGTCCTGGGTCTTGATGATAAACTGCAAACCGTGTGCTAGCAATTTAACATAATGTGAACTAGACCAATTACTGTGTCTACTTCCCTGTACAGATTACTTGATGATAAAGTCCAAAGATAGCACACATGCAGCCCCTTCAGTGGTCACCGTGCGATCAAGGGATCAGGAATTCTGATCTGGATCATCCAGTCCCCTTCATTAGGAACAACCTCTTAGTTCTTGAGTGGTGGTTGGATCAGATCAACAATACCATCGGTGTTCCTATACCTCCTCCCTCATCCTGAGTTTCATCTCTTCACAGATGCCTCACTTCAGGGATGGATGCATATATTAACGGTCAGGAATTCCAGGGTCTATGAATGGAAGACAAATCTTCCTTCCCCATCAGTAATTTAGAACATCTTGCTGTCCAACAGGCTATAGTTTAAGGTGAGTGGGGTTGATTGGGGCAGTTAGTGTGGAGCAAGCAAGAAAAAATTAGACCAATGCTTAAATGGGCAAAGTTGAAACTCTGGAGGATGAGGAATAGATTTTCAGTGTGGGAAAATGTTAACCTTCCTTTGGTTCTCTTTGAAAGTCAAAGCAACACACTTGGTAATATATTTTCAATTTAGGAAAATGTTAACCTTCCTTTGATTCTCGTTGGAAGTCAAAGCAATACACTTGGTACGGACTCATCCCAGGTTATCTTCTTGTCTTTAAATGTCAGGTCATTAAAGATAAACATGACTGTGCTAGAAACTTTGTGAATAGGAAGACTTAAGATTTTTCCAATTACTGAGCTAAACAGATGCAGCATTTATTCTATTTCCAAATATGTTAAATTACTAGCGTGAGGTCTGCAGTCTTATTATTATAAATATTTGTTTTTGATGCCACAGAATGCTGTCCAGTAATTGCTATATAAGTAAAAGTATGACATATTCATTTCATGCAATGCTGTTGCCAGCTTTATGTAAGGTATATAAAGTTTGAGTGATTGTTGTTGATCTGAAAGCTAAAGGTTCATATGAATGTTTGGTAACTATACTAGTGAGTAGCAGGTTACTCTGTCATGTCTGCCAAGTGATCAAGAATACACTTGTCATGGTAAGCTAACACATAAACCAGCAGCCTCAGTGAATAAAGAATACACTTATCATGGTAAGCTAACACATAAACCAGCAGCCTCGGTGAATAAAGAGTACACTTGTCATGGTAAGCTAACACATAAACCAGCAGCCTCAGTGAATAAAGAATACACTTGTCATGGTAAGTTAACACATAAACCAGCAGCTTCGGTGAATAAAGAGTACACTTGTTGTGGTAAGCTAACACATAAACCAGCACCCTTGGTGAATAAAGAATACACTTATCATGGTAAGCTAACACATAAACTAGCACCCTTGGTGAATAAAGAATAAACTGATCGTGGTAAGTTAACACATAAACCAGCAGCTTCAGTGAATAAAGAGTACACTTGTCGTGGTAAGCTAACACATAAACCAGCTGCCTCAGCTTACCATGACAAGTGTATTCTATATTCACTAACACATAAACCAGTAGCCTCGGTGAATAAAGAATAAACTGATCGTGATAAGTTAACACATAAACCAGCAGCCTCGGTGAATAAAGAATACACTTGTCATGGTAAGTTAACACATAAACCAGCAGCCTCGGTGAATAAAGAATACACCTGTCGTGGTAAACTAACACATAAACCAGTAGCCTTGGTGAATAAAGAATACACTTCTCATGTTAAGTTAACACATAAACCAGCAGCCTTGGTGAATAAAGAATACACTTGTTATGGTAAGCTAACACATAAACCAGTAGCCTCGGTGAATAAAGAATAGACTTATCGTGGTAAGTTAACATATAAACCAGCAGCCTCGGTGAATAAAGAATACACCTGTCGTAGTAAACTAACACATAAACCAGTAGCCTTGGTGAATAAAGAATGCACTTATCATGGTAAGTTAACACATAAACCAGCAGCCTTGGTGATTAAAGAATGCACTTATCATGGTAAGTTAACACATAAACCAGCAGCCTCTGTGAATAAAGAATACACTTGTCATGGTAAGTTAACACATAAACCAGCAGCCTCGGTGAATAAAGAATAGACTTATCGTGGTAAGTTAACATATAAACCAGCAGCCTTGGTGAATAAAGAATACGCTTATCATGGTAAGTTAACACATAAACCAGCAGCCTTGGTGAATAAAGAATACACTTATCATGGTAAGCTAACACATAAACCAGTAGCCTCAGTGAATAAAGAATAAGCTTCTCATGGTAAGTTAACACATAAACCAACAGCCTTGATGAATAAAGAATAAAAGCTGGTATCGTGATAAAAGTTATATATGTCAGTCATGTTTCCAGAAACATATAGTGTATTTACAAGTTGATCTGCTGATAAAAGTTATATATATGTCAGCCATGTCTCCAGAA